GAGAAAGAGAGAGAGAGAGAGAGAGAGAGAGAGAGAGAGAGATGAAAGATGTGGCTCATGTGATTATTAGGTAATAGGTGTGCAAGTCAATGAGAAAAGGTGATGATCAAGATTTAAATATGTTGATTTGTTGAGAAAGACATAATTCTAGGTTGTTAGAAGCCGGTGATTTTTGTTTGAAAATGAGAATGATGACAACCTACAACCACGCCAAAGAAGTCTTAAAAAATAAAAAGAAGGCCCAAGAAAGTTGCTCCATTATATTGTGGTTGATCTCCAATTCTACACAATTTCTTGTTCACTTCAAACTCCTACTATCTAGAAATAAGTCACAAGCACCTGGCAACAAACATACACTTTACATCTAATTGCCAACTCATAATTTATAAAGCCAAAAAAAAAAACCTTCATAGCATCTCTATCAATCCAAGATGCAGCAATCCATACTACTCAATTCCCATGTATTAACATATCTAGCAGCTAAATTATATTTTTTACATAAATATTGTTTTACCTAAACATAAAAACATGTACTTTACTCCTAAAAGTTAAAATAATGACATGTTTTATGTGATATAAAAGAATTGAGGGTATGTATGTAAATTCCCATAAATAAATAAAGCTATTTCTGCAAGGTTACCTAACATCCTCATGAACCCTCATTACTTCTTTTGATTTCAAATTATCATGGTCATAAATTTCATGAATCAAAAGCTTCCAAGATTTGCCATTTGCAGCATATAATCTTCATGTTCAGGAAAGCACTGAAGCTTTATATAATAAATATCTCTTGGGAATGCCCCAAATTCGAAGGCCCGTTGAAAATTTTGAAACACGTGACTAGCCGTTGCCACCGTCGTCCGACTCACGCCCCCCTCTCCTCTTTCCATCTGCTGCCATCCAACGGTAACAATTTAGTGACCGTTGGGATTTAAAAAAAAAACAAAACAAAAGCCCTACTCCACCACAACGACATGAACCCGGTTTTAAAATAGGGGCATTTACATACATGCCCATTCTGTATTTGCATATCAAACACTTAAAAATTCATTTTTTACATTCGTACCATTCAAATCTTTCACATCAGTGACACCACATTAAAAACAGTACCATTTTTAATTTTCAAGGAGAGAAACATACCTTTTCGTGCGCAAGTGTTGTGGCAAATATGTAAAAGTTGAAGTTTTGGCGTAGGATATGTAAATCTACCTTTAAAATAAGGACCGCTCTTGCCATTTGATCTAGATCGGGGAGGGCAGAGAAAGACGAGGAAGGGAGGAGAGAGCTTCGCTTCATGGTCGTCTTCCTTTAGCTCTCTCCGGCTCGCATTGGATTCTTGCGCTGACTGCATCTCAGGTTTCGATCACACGAGGAAGGGAGGAGAGAGCTTCGCTTCATGGTCGGCTTCCTTTAGCTCTCTCCGGCTCGCATTGGATACTTGCGCTGACTGCATCTCAGGTGTCGATCAACTGACTGCATCTCAGGTTTCGATCACAATCTGGGCTTCAAGATCTTGTCGCTCTTCTTAGTGCAGGAATAAAGGGATGGAGAAGGATCATGTTGCGAGGAGCTCGGAGAACTCCCAAGGTTCTTAGAAGAAATGCACTTTCCTTCAGTCTTTGTTCAGTGAATCAGTACAGGAACTCATGAATTCTTCCTATTTATTTGATGGATCCCTGATTTTGGTTTCTTTAAAAGGTTTTCGGATGGTGGGAGTGAAGTATGGCAGAGAGATGGAGAATAAGGAAAATAGGAGAGTGCTGAGAGATATCAATAATCTCTCTGTCTGCAACGTTCCTTATCCCTCTAAGATCTTCAAAAAAGTAACCGCAGAGTAATGCTCCTATTCTTCTGTTCACTTTAGAAACTAAACCCCATATTTCTTAATTATTTATTGTTTTTCATTCTTTGATAAATTTACAACAACTTATTTTGCTTTCAGTGATGAGAAGAACACAAATAGTTTTGTTGGTCGAAGACCAATTACAAGGTCAGAAGCAACGTTTCCTCTTTTTTTCCTCCTTTTTTTTCACAACTTTACTCTTTTAGGCTGAATTATGGAAATGGGTCTTTAGGAGGTTTGCTGCTTCGTTAGCTCAAAATTCAGAAGATTGCTTTCAGGTTGTAAAGGAAATTGAACTTAAAAAGCAAGCAAAATTTTCATTCTTTGATCTCACCTTCTTCTACACTCCTTAACTCCTCCTCAGAATGTCGACACTAGAGTCAAACCTATTGTCAGTGAAGCTCACGGGAAAAGCCAACTGGTCCAGGATACATGTTTTGCAGAAACAGGCGATGCCATTGATGAGGAAGCGGACCTTACATTTCTTACAAATGAACCTTTGCCAATGGTGGACGAGACTGAAGAGATGGTAAATGTCCTTCATTCTGGATATTTTTTTTTAAGTTAAAATTGATGATTTGTGTTAAAATTAGTGGTTTCAAATTTGATTGTGGAATGAAGGAAATTGAAATGGAGGATCTAGATGCCAAACTTGAGGAGATTGATATTTGTGATTCAAACAACCCTCTTGCTGTTGTCAAGTATGTGAATGATATCTACTCTTTCTACAGAGAAACAGAGGTAGACATTTTGCAACACAAATCGTTAGTATTATTGTCATTCCATGTTTGGCCGAAGCTTGGTTTAAAAAATGTAAATTTATATATATGCCACACGATTTCTATGTATTTACGTATCTAACATATTTGCATTTTGTAACCCTTTGGTGTCATAACTAATGGATGAAAAGATGTGTTTCACTTTTAATAAGTTAGTAATAGAGATATTTTTATTCTATATATAAATATATAAAAGTTTCAAGTCTTAGATATGTAAATATATGAGAATTGTGTGGTATTCATGTAAATGCTAGAGAAGATAAAAAAGTAGAAGGAAAGGTCATTTACATACATACCACCCAATTCATATGTATTTCCATATCTAACACCTATACTTTGTTTTTTATCTTTATACCACAAAAATCTTCCATATGACATTTGAACTTTTAAAAAGTGAAGCAAACCTTTTTATGCATAGGTAAGGTGGAATATGTAAAAATTGAATTTTAGATATTAGATATGCAAATACACATGAAACTAGTGGATTCTATGCCAATCTTCCGAAAAAAACAATAACCTAACAAGTTGGATCAAAATTTTCAGGAACTTGGATGTGTCTCTGCTAATTATATGTCAAATCAGTTTGACATTAATGAGAGGATGCGTGCTATTCTGATTGATTGGTTGATTGAGGTATAAATAAATAAATAAATAAATTATGCTGCAGTCGTTTGATACAAATGATCCGAAACACTGTAACTAAAGTTATTAAAACTCTGCCGCAGGTGCACTACAAATTTGAACTAATGGAAGAGACGTTGTTTCTAACGGTCAACCTCATAGATAGGTTCTTAGCCAATCAAAGCATTCCAAGGAAGAAGCTTCAACTGGTTGGGGTAACAGCCATGCTTCTTGCCTGCAAGTATGAGGAAATTATGGTTCCGGTCATTGAAGATCTTATCGTCATCTCCGACCGAGCTTACACGAGAGAGGAAGTCCTTCAGATGGTAGTGAAAGATCAAAGTTTTCTCAATTATGAAATTACTCAATTGGAAGATTTACATACATACCACTCACTTCTTCACATACACATGAAAAGGTGTATGAATGTAAAAATGAAAAGTTTAGATGTTAGATATGTAAATACATGTGAATTAGGAGGTATGTGTGTAAATGCGTCGCTTTTCTTTTTGATATGATTCTGATCCATTTACTGCAAGCAGGAAAGTTTGATGGTAAACACTCTACAGTTCAACATGTCAGTGCCAACACCTTATGTGTTCATGAGGAGATTTCTCAAGGCTGCTCAGTCTGATAGACAGGTACAGGCTCTGCAATTAAGGAAATAATTACTAGGGGCATTTTTACATACATGCCACCCAATTCCTATGTATTCAGATATCTAACACCAGAACTTCACATTTTTACATTTTTACGCCAACCAAATCTTTCACATCACATCAAAAATACCACCATTTTAACTTAAAAAAAGTGAAAAATTAAAGTTTAGGTGTTAGTAAAAAATTTGTAGGCATGTATGTAAATCTTCCTAATAACTACTGTATTTCTAGTTTTTGCTGAAAGGATTCTAACATTAGGTTCTTGAACCCGAGCTAGATTGAGCTCCTTTCTTCTTACATCATAGAACTATGCCTTGTTGAGTATGAAATGCTCAAATTTCGGCCTTCAATGCTTGCTGCTGCTGCAGTCTACACAGCTCAGTGTAGTTTAAAAGGATTCAAGCACTGGACTAGGGCTACTGAGCTATGTACAAAGTACTCGGAGGTCCAGCTTCTGTAAGTTGAGCTTCTGTTGTTTCATCCCATTATTTCATTTACAATATACCTAGTACACAATTCTTATGTATTTATATATCTCTTTGAATTGCAGAGAATGTTCTAAGATGATGGTGGATTTCCACCAGAAGTCTGGGAAAAGAAAGCTTACTGGGGACCATAAGAAATGTAGCACAGAAATATAGCACATTCAAGTTTGGATGTGCAGCAAAGTCTGAACCTGCACTCTTCTTGTTGGATATGAGGAACTAACTAAAAGGAAAGCTTTGCTCTCTTCTTGTTGGATATGAGGAACTAACTGAAAGGAAAGCTCGTCTTCTTTTTTTCTCGGAGCTAAAAAAGGTTTGGAGAGATTTAGAGTGATTTTCAATCTTTTTTGCAACTTATGTTGCTAAGTTTGCATGCAATGTGAGTTGCACTTGTGTTGAAATGTGTTTCATCAGTGCTCTAATAGTTTCTTTTGATTAGAGTTTTAATAATTGTCTGAATCTACAATCTAAACAATGAATAAACATCATTTGGCAATCATATTGCTCTGTTACTTTCATTTGTTCAAATTTTAATATTTGTTTTCTGATAATGTGCTCTATATGAATAGATCTATGTACCATTAGCATGCTTTAGCTAATCTGCGAAATGTGTTTTAGAAACCATTCCCCCTCTAGTGGGTTGCTTTGTGCAGAAGAAAGGAAGCAATGAGTTCTTCCTAAATAAAAAAATGTTGCTCTATCTGAATAGATCTATATATATTGCTTTGTGAAGAAGAAAGGAAGCAATGTATTCTTTCTAAATCAAAGATGTTGCTCTATTTGAATCAATCTATATATTGCTTTGTAAAAAAGAAAGGAAGCAATGTGTTCTTCTTAAATAAAAGACGCTGCTCTATCTAAATAGATTTATGTAGAACCATTAGCATGCTTTAGCTAATATGCAAAATGTGTTTTAGAAACCATTCCCCCTCTAGTGGGTTACTTTGTGAAGAAGAAAGGAAGCAATGGAAGAAAGGAAGTGTGAAGAAGAAAGGAAGCAATGAGTTCTTCCTAAATAAAAGATGTTGCTCTATCTGAATAGATCTATATATTGCTTTGTGAAGTGGGTTGCTTTGTGAAGAAGAAAGGAAGCAATGAGTTCTTCCTAAATAAAAGATGTTGCTCTACCTGAATAGATCTATATATTGCTTTGTGAAGAAGAAAAGAAGCAATGTATTCTTCCTAAATAAAGGACTTTGCTCTATCTGAATAGATATATATATTGCTTTGTGAAAAAGAAAGGAAGCAATGTGTTCTTCCTAAATAAAAGGTGTTGCTCTATCTAAATAGATCTGTATAGAACATTAGCATGCTTTAGTTAATTTGCAAAATGTGCTTTAGAAACCATTCGCCTCTCTAGTGGTTGCTGCTTTGTGAAGAGGATATGAGGCAATGTGTTCTTCCTAAATAAAAGATGTTGCTAATGTATGATGAGGGTTGTTGAAATGATGACAGAAACAATCAATTATTTAAAGATGATAATGGTTTTTTTTTTTTTGAATGGTTAGTGATAAATAATAGTGTAGTTGAAACTTGTAACTTAATTCACCTACAGATGATAATTTAGTGAACATTAGCTCGAGTGGGTAGAGAAATAAGGCCAAAGATTTTTACTAATTTGTCTACAATCTAAAACAACGAATAACAAACATCATTTGGCAATCATATTGCTCTGCTGGTTCATTTGTTCAAATTTCAATGCATGTTTTCTGATAATGTGCTCTATCTAAATAGATCTATGTAGAATATTAGCAAGCTTTAGCTAATTTGCGAAATGTGTTTTAGAAATCATTCCTCTCTGCTTTGTGAAGAGGACGGGAAGTAATGTGTTCTTCTTAAATAAAAGATGTTGCTTTATCAGAACATTAGCATGCTTTAGCTAATTTGTGAAATGTGTTTTAGAAACCATTCCCCTCTTGTGGGGTTTGTGAAGAGGATAGGAAACAATGTGTTCTTCCTAAATAAAAGATGTTTCTCTATTTGAATAGGTCTATGTAGAACATTAGCATGCTTTAGCTAATTTGTGAAAAGTGTTTTAGAAACCATTCCCCTCTAGTGGGGTTGCTTTGTGAAGAGAAGACATAAAGCAATGTGTTTTTCCTAAATAAAAGATGTTGCTCTATCTGAAAAATAAAAGATGTTGCTCTATCCTCTATCTGAATAGATCTATGTAGAACATTAGCATGCTTTAGCTAATTTGAAAAATGTGTTTTAGAAACCATTCCGCTCTAGTGGCTGCTTTGTGAAGAGGATAGGAGGCAATGTGTTCTTCCTAAATAGAAGATGTTGCTAATGTAGGTGGGATAATGTATGTCTCTATTTAGACTTAATTAGAAGTAATGACAATAGCAATTATTTAAAGATGATTATGTTTTTTTTAATGGTTAGTGATAAATAATAACATGGCTTGAACTTATAACTTAATTCACTTACAGATAATAATTTAGTGAACACTAACTCAGTTGGGTTGAGAAATAAGGCCAAAGATGCGCAATAAAAATATGCAAGGCTTTCTAACCATCAAAGATTATAAGAATATTAATGAATATCATCAATTATTTTATTGAATATCACATGAATGAAACCAAGTCTTCCAAAAAAGAGGAGTAAAAAAAACCCATTAGTATTATAACTTTATGGAAAACCTATATCATCAAATTCATCTTTTTAATCTTATTATAAAATATAAGTTAAGGCCTTGGCAATCCACAATAAATGCATAACAACAAAAATAAGCCTTTATCAATTCGATAACATTAAAAATTCAATAAGCATCCCACAACAACAACAAAAAGCCTTCTGAAAAAGAAGAGTAAAACAAAAAAAAATTTATCCCACCAAGCGGGACCGACTACATGTATCCTTTTTCTCCATTTTGTTCTATTGAGTGCTATATTTTAATGAATATTATTGATTATGGGTCAATTTGTAGCAGCTACAACTTATTTAAAAGCTGTGGGAGGAACAGTTGCGCAGAAGCTTCTGCGAAGAAACTGACTGCTTGTTTGTTTTTTTAAAAGTTTTGAAACAATTATTCTACAGTTGTTTTGTGAACAAATGACATTTCTAATATTGTACTATAGTATTGTTTTTAACAAAACTATTCATACTAGCACATTCAATGCTTGAAAACAAGTATTCAATTTAATTGTTACAAAATAAAAACATTTATCTCACAAAACAATAAATAACACAATAATCAAAATAAAAAAAGACTACTAAAATAATGATTGATATAATGAAAACATTGTTTTTAGAATGTAATTGGTTTATGTCACGAGATAAACCGTCATTCAAGGAAACTCATCACGCCCAATCATTATCGATGTGGACTTCTCCAACCCAACCCACCTAAAGAAGTAACTACTTTTGTTCTTCTCCTCGGACACTTGTAAAACTGTCTCCTGTAGCTATGTGATTGTCGCGATGTAAGCAAAGAACATTGCAAACCACATTAGTCGTACAATGCTCTAGAGATACCAGATGTCCTTGAGCTCATCTTTTTTGAAGGTTTAAAACAACAAAGTATAAATCCTATGATGCAACGTTAGCGAAAAGAAATATTAAAAGTAATCAATGTAATTTTTATTAAACTATGAGGTCTCAGAGAACATAGTATAAACTAACGAATATGTCACTACAAGAAGACAACATACCTTATAAAAAGAAAGAGTTCTTGTGTCGCATATACATATCGCAAAAAAAAAAAGTCATCCAAAATAACCTCAAAAGCCATAACACTAAAGAATAAGATTTTACATGGGATTTCACATGTAATAAGAACTAATAGAGACATATAGACCATCTAAAAGAACTCCTACATAAACCTCCAAAACCAAAATAAAAAAAAAACAATAAAAAATTACATTACATATTATGTTCATGATTGCATCGTTGGGCATCCAAGTGGGGAACAATACATGCAAAAGAGCGAGAAATAAAATTGAGATTCAAAATATAAATGATTGAATAAATCATCGATACAATAACAATAAAAGAATTCACAACATTTTGCAAATAAAGTAGCAGCAAAAAAATACAATCAGTCCATGTTGGCATCAATTTTCGATGTCACATAAGCAGGATGTCTGTCTATGGATACGAGACTATGCTCAGTTTCACGTCACCCAAGACATCTTATCAGACCTCTTAGTAAGTGCCCTGAGCATGGAAGGACCGGTTCTCGCTTGACCCTGCCCGGGAAAATTCACGGTGAGGCGATGTTAGCCCCGACTCCAGATGTGTTTTACGTTTGTTTTGATGTTGTGACCCAAGTCCATCAATCTGAAGTCTTTCGAGGCCAAGGGAAGTTGCCAAGATCTCACACACGCATTTTGAAAAAATTCAAGTTCAAACTGATTTTACCCCTGCAAGGGTCCTGAATGGCAGTCGACACTAAAATCCCCAGTTTGAAACCTCTAAAATATTTGTTTTCTGAATCAATGAGGACCTTCTTGTGGTCATCTAGGAAAGAATTAGGATTTAGAACACCTTACTCGCTTCATGGTCCAGGATGTCCATTAGCAACGATTTCCTCGGTGAATGGCCAATCAAGATACGCATTTTTGAAATTACAGGACCATAGCTTAGTCATACATGATCTCCCACATTTTACGGATTGAAGAAACCCTATATCGGATGATCTATGCGAAAATTTTAATTTAAACATGTTTATATATATATATATATATATATATGTTTATTTAATTTCACACATTGTAGGCAATGGATCAAGAATACTCATGCATTATCCTTAAAACAAATAAAGAGAATGAATGATTTATAATAAAATATAGTTTAACATTAAGCAGAGAAAGCATAAATCCATGAATTCCACAACTGGCCATCATCAGATACTTTGAGAACTTTTCAAATCTCTACATTTCAGAGATGAGAGCAAACTGTTTGGCACATTTCATTGATGTTGATTCTTGTTGCCAACCAAAAAAGGCATGGATAAGAACAAAAAAGAATGGGATAAACACATGAAGAGATATTCGGGACGGTATTATGGAAGCTTTTGCATTACTCCTCTTCATATTTGGTGCAATAATCAGTTGTTTAAGGATATGGGCTACAATCCAAGGAGGAAGGACCTTTTTATCCCTTATGAGCCTATTGATTATGCTAACTTGGAGGAGAAATTAAAAAAAACGTGTAATTATAAAAGTTTGAATTTATAATATTCTGATCATAAAAAATGGATAATTATATTATGTTCTTTCAATTATTATTACTATTATTATCATCCATGTAGTCAGTTGTTATGCCTCAAAGTAAGCAATATTGATGGTATATTCAAATAAGCTAATAAAAAATTATTACTATTTTAATATATACATACATACATACATACATATATATATATATATATAATATATATATAAATATATAGAGAGAGAGAAAGAGAGAGAGAGATAAACACATAAATATTAGTGCAAACAGGTGAGAAATCAACATTTTTTTTAGGGTGGTATATATATATATATATACAGAGAGAGAGAGAGAGATAAACACATATATTAGTGCAACTGGTGCGAAATCAACATTTTTTTTAGGGTGTGCAAAATCATAAAATGTCTGCATCTCTCTCTCTCTCTCTCTCTCTCAATCATGATGTATCAATTCTCATCAAAGAACCCTTGGTCACTTCCAGCATTCAATACAAATGTTTAAGATAGATATGGGCATCATTACATCTAAGACTACATAAGTCCATATGCACTAAGGTTCATGATATCAACCTGATCTATTCATTTGTAAAATTTAGATTTTAGTCCATATAATTTTGACTTTGTTAAACACTTTTCCCTATGGATAATTCAAGCGGTCAATCTTGCCGCACTACCAAAATGCACCGCTACAACCTTTGGAGTGTTGGCTTCTTTGCTAAACTGGAGGCACACTGATATGGTTGACTCCTCGGATATCAATTTTGCTGCATTTGTATAAATTTTGGATATTACATACATATTTAACATCTAAACATTACTGTATTACATTTAAACCATAAATTTATAATTTCTTACAACCGGTTGAAGATCCTATTCAACCCTAGTTCAAACTTTGAATCTTAAACCTCTACGTGTACGAGTTCAATGCCCGTCCTGATTTCCAAAACCTTGAAAAATTATAAAGATAACCTAAAAATTAATTATAAAGATAACACAATCAATGAAAATTATAAAGATAGCACAATCAATGAAAATTAAGAAATAAAGATCATTCATCTGACAATGGCTGCTACCCTTGGACACGAATTTCACTTTTTCTGGAGGTAGGGCTTTACTGATTCAACAATCACCTGTTATAACACATCAGAAGAAACAATTATATAGTGTAAGAGAAATCCCGAAGAAGAGCTCTTAGGGCTGAGTTTAGATCGAACATTGTTAATCACTTAAAAATTGGTTCGAATTATGGCACGGGTTAAAATAAATGAGCAGAACTACAGCCAAAATTGTGGATCAAATTTTTCTCAAGCCAATTTCGACCCGAACCCAACTTGAAATCAGATCACTAACAACCCTAGTGATCTTAGGGCTGTGAGTTTAGTGAATTTAGCTAGAAGTTCATTTTGTGTTAGAAAATTGATTTGAATTTTGGCTCGGAGCGAGATCGGAACAAAATAAACAAGCCGAGCTGCGAGCCAAAATTTTGGATCAATTTTTTTCTTTTTTGAGCCAGCTTTTAAGCTTACCCCAGCTCGGCTCGAAATCGAGTTGTTAACAGCTCTATTCCTACTTATCGAATGCATGCATATTATAATATGAACTAAAATTAAATAAGATGGAACAGTTTTAACAAATTTGCCAGGACAACGGGAGAAACACATCTTGGTTTCTCAATAAAACAAAAAATATTCACCAATATCCGTGTCCTTACACTCTACAATAAAATGTAAGTGTATGTTCACATACCACATTGGTGTTTTAAGGAATAATGCTATTTTTTATGTGATAATAAAGATTTGAGTGCTATATGTGTAAATATGAAAGTTGATATGTGAGATATGTAAATACATAAAAATTGTGTGCTATGTATGTAAATGGACCTAAAAAAAAAAAAGAATTGGAAGCATGTCATGAGAATAGCTGAATTCCCTAAAAAAAATCACACATAAGAGGTCATTGAGCTACCAAAAAAAATTGTACAATGCAAATAAATTATCATTAAAATATAAAACATACGGAAGTCTAGACCGATGTAAATTATCATTAAAATATAAAACATATGGACGCCTTGAATGATGTAAAGTAATGTTAGCCATGAATGTAAAATGAAAATACCTTTAAGGTTTACAAAATTCTCAAATATCTAAAATCAAATTCTGAAAAAATAACTCTCTGAAAAAGATATATTAAACATTACAAATCAAAGGCTATGATAACCCTAAGTATGTGTGATCCTTTATTGATATAAAGCATGGTCAAGGTTATAAAACACTATAAAATATTCAACATTATTGAAATGAAATCTAGTAAAATGGAGAAGCAAAAAATCACTTGTAGTCTCAAGGTTAAGTGTTGAATCTAAATTTAAAATAATCGCACATGAAATTTGTGAACTCCTAAGGAAAAACTATACTGAAAAATCTAAAAATTAAATGGAAAAAACCTATAAGGATATATTGTGATAATAAGTTTGTCATTAGCATTTGCCCATAATCTAAGTACAATATGATCAAACCAAAATATTAAGATCGATAGGCATTTCATAAAAAAGAAATTAAAAAATGGATTAATTTGAACTTCATATATTCTAATGAAAAATCTAATTGTTGATATATTTACCAAAAGATTTTGCCACACTATCTTAAAAAGCTTTGGAATGGTATATCTCTACCATTGAATTTTAGAGGAAGTGCTAAAAATATTAGAATTACTCAATAATAAATACAAAGAGTCACAGGTTTATGTGCTAAATAAGAGAAAATATAGGTCAGATTCATGTACTTAATATGAAAAAAGGTGCGGCAAATTTATATGCTTAATATGGAAATAAATGTGGCACGGATTCATGTGAAGTGCCATAAATTGCTCGCTCTATCATCCCACCAGCCAAAATAGGAAGTTTTCGACAACAGTTTTTAATTTTTAGATTCTTTATAATCAATAGTTTCCAATTAATTTTTAAGTAATTTTGTGTATAAATATCCATTAAAGAAGTTTTTTAGCTATTACTTTTCTATAAAAAATCTTGCATTCAACCATTAACGATGAAAGCTATAAATATACTTTAAGATATTGACATGTTGTTGGAAAAGCCATCTACTTTCATTCACCTTTGTTTCTAGAGTAGTTTGTTGGCATGCTGCAAAACAGGGTTGAAAAATTGAGAAGTCTTCAAAAAATTTTGAGAGAGATGAAAAAAACCATGGGAAAATGCTTTTCATCTATCAAAAACAAATCATTTGAGGATCAAAGCATTTTCGACATTGAATATGCTAGATCAATTGAAGATAAAAAATCTAGTTTAAAATAATGTGTCATATTGGTGGAAATCTCTTTTTTTTTATTTTGAAAAAAATAAGTAAATGAATGTAGCTAGATCAGTTGTTAAAGTGAATATTAAGTCATGGCTCACTTCACTTGCACAATGATGTGGACTAAAACTCTTGTAGAATGATTAGATTTTCCTGTCATGCAACCTATGATCCTTAATTGTTATAATCAGTTAAGTATCTATATTGGAAGCAATATTGAATAAGTTGTTACTTCATCAAAGATGCAGTTTTGTCAAACAATAGCATCATTCCTCAAATGTCAAATGAAGAACATTAACTAAAATATTTACCAAAGTCCAGATGTTTCTTCATTTTTTTTCAATCTTTATAACAAACTGGAACTTTCTTTATATGCTCTAGTTTGAGGGGGAATGTTATAATAGAAAATAACAATATTAAAAAGTATTATCCTAATAAAGCACTAAATTAGGAGATATTTTTTTACATCTTAATTAAAGATATTCACCTAATTATTTTTCTCTTAATGTACCCACCTTGTATGCAAGTATATAGGCTTCAGATTTCTGCCAATGAAATATTGAAATTTTCTGCTCTTTAACAGCAATGTTTATATCAATAAAGTTATTTTGTTTCACCCCCCACCATCCCCATCGAAAGTTAAGGTGAACTGTAATTAATAAATAAATAAATATATATATATATATATATAGGACCCCTACCGAAAACAATGTAAAAATTCTACTAATAAATTTCAACAATATAACACAACTTGAAGCCCCAATTGATCTCCAAGCTATCAATATCACACGCAGCTTGCAAAATTAGTTAGAATGCTTTGCCAAGTATCAAAAGACGGTAATGAAGGAAAACTTTCAAAATTGTGCTGTGGTTGGGATATATTCCTCTGAATTAAATCTTTATTCGTTAATGTTCAAGAAAGAAAATGTAGGGCAAAAGGTTGTTCGAGTGTCAACAAAATGCAACACGATATAATCAATTTTAGTAAAATTATAGACAAAATAAATTTTGCTCTAGGACCAGCACAAAACTAGGATTTAGCAGAAGCTTCACTAAAAAGATCAGAATAGAAAAAAATTATTCTTACCCTCCCATCATATGACAATGAAGCAAATAGAGAAGGCTCACGGCAGCTCCACGCAACACCTATTTAAAAAGGTAAAATGAAAAATCTATGAATTTTTTTACAGCAAGGAACAGTTGCAGTAAAAAAGATTACAAGTAAAAAATTACCATAAACACTGTCCTCATAGTCACTGTAGGAATGCAGCAAAGGATCCATTCGAAGGGCTGCATAGTCAGCTAAACTAGATAGAGGCAGAAGAATTGAAATTTATAAAAAAGATGGCATACGCTATTGAAAAAAAATTCAGTTTAGGATTTGTTTGTGATCATACAAGTTTTCATGTCTTGAATCATTGCTTCCGGTAGTAGAAGCCAAAAGTAAATTTACAGCCGAGTCTGTTCCAGTAGTCTGTATAAATTTATCTTATTAATGAACAACAATTAAGTAGCTTGCACCTGAAACAAAGGAAGAGAGGCAAATAAAAAATTGAATAGACAAATAAACAGGGAGGTACCAAGATAAGATCATCATACTCAGGGTTGTAGCGTACAGTCCATGTCCTAAAAATTATAGTGACCAAAGCCACTGATCAGATGAGAAAAAAAATAAACAGGAAAAGGAAAAAAGTCAGAAAAAACAGGAAGTTCAGTGTCCTAAACTGTGCGCATACTAAAAAAAAGGGTGAGGCATTTACACATATACCACACAAGTCTTACATATTACATATTTAACAACTAAGTTTTCATACTTACACAGATATGTCGGCACTAAAAAAGTAAGAAAGGAAGATATTGTTTGGGGGGTCGCCCGTAAGAAGCTGTCG